GCTGCAGAGACACTCCGTTGTTTCGTTGTCATCAGCTCGAAAAGGCGCTGGTGGAGGCAAACACAGGTATTTATTTTTGCTACGGACGCACAGCTGTTGATCAGTACTCTTGAGCAACAGGCGTAGATACACGCATGTGACACGTGAAACAGACAGGCACCTGGATGTGTAACATTCAGTGTTTCTGTTTCAGCCAGGCACAAATGTAAAAACACATAGAACTGCATGGCCGTGAAGTCAGCGTTCTACATTGCCTGTTACTGCGCATGCGAACTAAGAGCGGAGTAACACATTGAGCTACAAAAGTGAATTGCGAGAACTTGCACATCCCCGGCCTGGAGACAGCTTTCTGAAATTAAGCAGAACACGCGCGCCAGCGCAAACGGATCTTAGGTTAAAGCTCTTGCTCGAAAGTTTGCCCACATGTTCAGTTCCCTCTCCAGATGGAAAGCTTACTGTGTAAAAAGGATGTAGAGCTCAGCTCCACTTGATGCCAGCGCAGGCATGGATTGCGGCTCCGGAGAATTGCATATGACTCTGATAGAGTATCTTCGCCAGTGAGAAGTTTCTCTGGGGTCTTTTGGTTCCCGAGAAAAGCATGGTCGCTTGAAATGGCTGGCAGTAAAGAAGGATACCTTCCCATGTGAGAAGCATTCCGTGAAAGAACTAAGTCAACCACCTCAGCATCATGATCCCAGTTACGGTCACGAGTCCCATCGCCAAGCCAGTGGTAGTTGTCATTCTGGTAGACGACAACAGGTTGAAGGCGAGCGAAAGGATCAGGCCGAACAGGAACGCGAGGTGTAGGTCCGCAGATCGGTCGTTCCGACTCGGAGTCCAGTCAGTTCTTTCCACGAGCGTTGTTTGCCTTCTGTCTCGCCTTTCATCTGTCGGCTGCCTCTTCGACCGTTTCGGGGTTGCGATTCATCGCCGCCAGTGTACTGGTTCGCGTGGAATTTGATGAGGAGAGGAGTGTGAGCGTCATAGTCCCGGTCTCCAAGGAGGTAAGCCGTCGAGGTGGAATTCAGAAGCCGTTCGGAGACGCCGACCGTGTACTCCAGCTGACCAGGAGTTGCTTGAGCCCATTGCTCGTCGTCCATAGAGTGGCCCCATTCAAGAACAGCGGCCGCCACTGGACCCAGAGGAAGAAACGTATTCCAGTCGGGCTGAGTGCACTCCGTGTAAGGACGGCCAAGTTGGTCTTCGTACTGCTTGAGTAGACAAAGACTGTTTGCAGAACCGTGCTGAACTCGAGGGTGGCACATCGGACGACAGGTCGGGCTCTCCGTCCAGCCCTCCAGGAAATAGTCAAAGGACATGCTGCCACTGATGTCTATGCATTTCTATGGAAGCTTGATTGCGTCCTGTGGCCAAATAAGCGGCCATATCGGCGTCACCGCCGATCAAATCGACCTGATAGTACAAGCAATCAGAAAACATAGTTCCCAAAGCTTCGTGAGCCAGACCAACCTTCCAGTCCGCGATCTTGTGTCACTTCCAGCTCTCCTCAAGGTCGCTGTCATGGCCTTGTCGGGGAGTTCTCCTCTGTGGCCTTGGCCGCTCACGGGAAGAGTGTTCCTGTAGGTAACCTCCACGACCATGTATGAGCATGGAAGATGATGATGGGCTACCCCGACCAGTGTCGAGCCTGCCAAATGTTTCAGCCTGGACCCAACAAGATAGGTCTTCCCACCGACGAGAAGATCTCCACCGTTGTTGCGAGTGGTCTCCCATCCACGGCCATATAGGGAGCTCAACTCGAAATCACAGATCTCCCCAGCCTCGCACTGCATAAAGAGGTGTGCCTGGGCTTGGGCGGTGCTCTTAATCAATGCTCCGTAACTAGAACCAGTGCTTTCCCTTGTCGATGTGGAAGGAGCAGAGCCACGATGAGTGCGGGATATTTGGTCTTACTGGTATAGACCGGAGCAGGACTATCTTCAGACAAACCAAAGGATAAAGAGTGTGATTCGGCATCTTGTCCAGTGATAAGTCCCCGATCTCCTCTTCGACCACACCGGCCGCCAGGAAGTAGTGAAACATAGAATTCATCAGCTCTTCCCTTGTGGCGGCGGGTCGTCCGCTTGCGCTCAACTCTCTGACCTTGAGGAGAAGTGCCTCCTGAACTTCAAGAGTGGAGGAACGGACATCCGAGGCCTTCTCCATGAGCCGGTCGTACACACACGCAGCATGGCCAAAACAGGTACTGCAGCTTTGGCTCGTCGTCGTGTTGCATTGCTTCACATGCTTGACATTGACATGCTGGCTGTCGCTGTATTTGTAGGTAACAGTAGCAATAGCAGTAGCAGTAGCAGCCGTAGTAAGTAGTAGTTGTCGTGGTGGTGGTGGTGTTGTAGAGGTTGTTGTTTGTGGCTAGTGATGCTTGCTGCTGCCGCTGCTGCTGCTGCTGCTGCTGCTGCTGCTGCTGCTGCTGCTGCTTTTGTACCATGGTGTGAATATTTTTCTAATTTTCCCAGCCCGCTATGGAACCCTAAGTTTTTGACAGGAGTGAGTTTTCAGTGGGTTGGTGCAGGTTCTGCTTTTCTTGCACTGATTTCGACAAATCGGAACAGTTCAGCCCAAATGTATCGTGGCCCTGGTATCAGGCTGAATCCTAATTCAAGATTAAAGCCAAGAAGCCACCCTTAGCTCAATCAACTCAGCACGTTCTCAAGCTTTTATTTCCAAAGCCAAGTCAATCCCTATATTGAAGGTGACCAGTGTTCGTGTCGGGTTTAGGGGCTCAGGGCCCCAAAACTTCACATGAACAGTTGTGCAGGTTTGCTCCTTTATGGCATTGGAACCTTCTGTTTTGGCATTGTCCCGGGCGCGCCGGGATCTACGTTGCAGCTGGGCGGTTGGTGAGACTGAAAGTCGGCGGTTATCCGTAGTTCAAGTCCGGCCCGTTTTTGATTTTCATGTTTGCAACTCTCATGTCCTAATGCCCCGACGCCCCCCAAAACTAGGTCACTAAATCCTAAAGGCCAAACCCTACATTATTTTTGAGTTTTGCTGTTTCCGTAAGGAATTGGGTGGCACAGCTGACGGCCCTGATTCTGATCGGTACCCGGGTCGCACAAAGCGAACGAAGAGGATGGCGTAGCTTTTCTGGATTCTTGAATGTTTGCTTAGATTCAGCGGTAGCAACAGAGATCGAGAGATAGAAGAGTGAACGAGACCTAGAGTGAACGAGAGAGACACTGACCCCTGGTGTTTTGGCGGTGTTCCGCTTCTAGGGTGTTGTTGTACAGGGTTTCTCGCTTTGTGCAAACATGCTATGGGGGCCATGGAGGTTTCTGAATGACGTTGTCGCATCGCTGTTCTTACGTCGTGGTAGACTCCTGTTGACATAGTTACCTTTGACGACGCCACGTTTGAGGACAGCATCCAAGACTCCACAGATTTTGCACCATACCTTGCAGAGACCTTCTTCACCATATTCCTAAAACCTCAAGGCGGTGTCCTATATTGTGTTGCAGGAGGACCGCTAGGAAGGGTTTGCGACCTTCTGTTTCTATTAGCCGAAACATTTGCTGACGGCTTCAATCTTCTTTACGTTGAACCCAAGGTACAGCGTCTGGGTATCTTGGGTAGAGATTCTTTCGGCTTCCGGCAATACCAGCTTATGTGCCACTCCGCATCGATAATGTCGCTCTTGTTGGCAGCACTATGTAGCACTGATGTTACTGTAGCAAGCACAAATTTGGTTTTGATGTTGTTCACTGTCAGAGTTACCCTCGCGATTTTTGTTGCTCCTGCTGTTGCGGGTGGTGGTGGTGTTGTTGTTGTGGTGGCGGTGGTGCGGGGGTGGTGGTGGAGGTGGTGGTGGTGGTGGTGGAGGTGGTGGTGGTGGTGCGTGGTCGGGCTGTGGTACTGGTTCATGAAGACGGTGGCAGTGGAGGCTTCGATGGTGGCGGTGACGGTGGCGGCAGTGGTGGTGCTGGTTGTTGACTGTCGTGGCTGCTGTGGCTCAATTTGTGCAACCACGACGACGACGACGATTGCTGCGGCCAAAGTCTTCGGCACCGGTGTCGTGGCAGCGTCCGACTATACCAACAAACACCCGGACCCTCAACTGTAAGGCTGGAAAGTTGAACTCCGAAAAGTGGTACCTTTGGCACTCGGCGACCAAACCCTAGTACCCCCAACCAAACTTGTGTCTTTGTAGCCTGAACCGGGAACCCGGGTTCAAGGATCTGTTCAAAAGTTCCCAACCGAAACCTCCAAAGCCTGAACATGCACAGCTGGAAGTAGGCCCCTTTAAAAAGCACCACCAAGTACCACAGCCGGAACACCGAACATGTCCAGAATTTTCACGAAGACTGTCACAAAAGAAGCAGCGCGAGTACCTTTGCAATCGTGCGAGTATTGCCCCCTGTGCTGTGCACCATGGACCAGAGATATCAGCAGCAGAATTTCATGAGCGCCATCGTAGCCTGTCGTAGCCAGCACATATTTCTTAGTTACTGTTTACTATCTTAGTGCACACCCAGGCAGTGGCTGGGCGATGTGTTGGACTCCAGCACTGCCTTGTATGGCCCCAGTCTGAGTAGGTTTTATCGGGGTGGTCTTGGGGATTTCGCAGTCGGGCTTCTTTGAGGAGTTTTCATTCGGGTACTCGGGGCAAGGCAGTTTTTGTATGCTGCTTGAGCGTTGAGGATTCAAGGCGTGTTTCAAGTTTTTTCTTCAAACTTTCCATGTATCTGAGAAGTTGCAATAGTATCATCAAAGACAGCACCTGCTTCTAGTTCAGGAACAGAGACTCGTGGGCTGGATAAAAAAGGTTTTTCAAGAACGGGGCTTGGGGTGGTTGAGGCCGGGGGTGTGCGAAGAGCCCTCCCAACAATCCTGGAAGGACTCGAGAAGACGGTATGGTTCGGCACAGCTTGCCGCAGGGGTGATGCGTGTCAACTTCATACCATAGCCTGCTTACTTGCACTACCTAGCATGTGACGGGTGGCGGTGTGCCATTAGAGTTTATTCGGAGTAGTTCAATGCTTCAGTATCCTTCTGAAAGGTGGATGCAGCAGCTTTGCGCCTCAGAAAGGACCCTCGCTGCGTAGTTATGTTTGGTTCTCAACGCCCGGGAGGCATTGTTTTTGCGGTCTCTGTTCTTATTGCTGAGGCGCTGGTGACCTAGGTCAGAGCTTCGGACTCGGCTTTGCCGTTTCCGGTTTTGCGTTCGGGATTCAGTGATGTTTCATCCTGAAATTTGCAGCACCTTGCAGGTACGACCGTACACAAGCCATGAAACCTACGGCTGACGGCGCCAAGCACCCCCCAGTTAGTGCCTCTGGGGCTGGAATGGCTTGAGGTTTCTGTTATGTAGGATGCGGAGTCGCGGTCTAGGCTGCAGAGCCTAGAGACCTCGATCCACACCGCTCAAATCTGAACCCCGTGCTCCTTAGCTGGCAATGTTCTTACATCATCAGATATGCAAGAGTTCTGCTTGCAGGACAGTGGCTGCTCTGCACAGGCCTCCACCCTCTGCTTCGTGTCTCTCGGGTTTCGGCGAATGCCTTGCGCGCAGGGTATAAGACTAGTGCACGTCTGCTTCAGAGCCACTGCTGCGCGTTCGGGCTTGTAAAGTAATAAGCGATCGTGTCCTACAATGCGGCTTTTGCAGGTTCACGGTGTCAGACTGAGAGTTTCTCTTGTTGATAGAGTTGTTTCAGGGCTTCTTGCAGTTGGTCAGAAAGCATACCACCAAGCATTCGCTCATCGTGTTGCAGCCTTCAGACCAGAACTTCAGATTGTGATTCTTCGAGTCAGCTTTTGAAGCAGTAGGCGGCTCGGCATCATGTGTCACCGGCCGTGTCCAGCCCTCAGGCTTTCTTGGGAGTTTCGGGTGTGGGTGCGAGTTGCTTGGATCCATCGTCTTGCCATCTCTGAGAAGTGTTTGTCAAGCATGGAGCCGAACGCTTCAACACTGCAGCTGCATCTGCCTGTCTTTGGTTCGAGAGTTCTTTCGTCACCGTATACCCATCCGTGTTTCCAAGAGCTCATGTCGTTGGCGGCCGGACTTCACCTTCTTCGCCTTTTCTTGCTTGCAGGGTTCATTGCAAGGTCCAGCAGCACAGACGAATGTGCACAGCTGCAGTTGCCCGATATCCAGAAGGCCTCAATTTGCGAGAGTCTGCAACTTCTTGACAAGGAGGGTAAAGAGATTGGCTTGTCCCCACGCAGTCCCGCCAAGTTGATCGACACGTTTGCCTTTGTCGACAAGTACGAGACCGAGGAGTTGCTCCTCCGGCTTTCTGAGATGAGTCCTCTCGTCGACGAGTTCCACATCGTGGAGGGAGATCGGGACTCTCAGGGACGAAAGAAAGCGTACGGGCTCGAGTCGGTCCTCAGCTCGAAGAGCTTTGATCCCTTCAGGGCTAAGATCACCTCCCACAAGGCCGTCATCCCAGAGGGCATGAATGGCTTTGACATGCAACGTCTCCAGAATACCATCATGAATAAACAGATGCAGGTGGACAACAGTTATGACCCCGAAGATGTTATTCTGTATGGGGATTTGGACGAGATCGTCGGTCAGGACGCCCTCCGGACCCTGAAACACTGCCGGCCTGCCGGTGGCATGTGGAATGCTCGAGTCAACATGACAAGCTATTGGTACGGGCTGGCCTGGAACAACGGTCACTGGAAGCCTTCCACCCCAGTCGTCTTCTTCCGGCAAGTCTTGGAGGGGAACCTCTTCTTCAATAAAGACAAACCCCTGGTGGGGCCAGCGGCACTGCTTGACATGTCGTCTGTCCACAAACCTCCAAACTTGCTCCGTGCCCGGGACCAACGTCCCATCGGCTGGCATGTGACTTGGAGCTTGGATGGAGCCGCAGGCGTCGCTCACAAAAACTTCTTGTCGGCGGGAGGTGTTCGGCCATGGTTCAGTCAGTTCCACGATGAGGACTCGCTACGACACTTCGTGGAGACGGAGTTCTATGCCGACCCCAGCAAGTATCAGCACGACATTCACAGGTCCCAGCTCCGCAAGAAGGATGTCCCACAGGTGCGGGAGATTAAATTGTGCGTGGGCATGCGTGCACGTGCACGTGCGCATGGGCGTTCGGCATGGGCGTGGACGTCTGCGTGTGCGCGAGTGTGAGTGAGTGAGTGAGTGAGTGAGTGAGTGAGTGAGTGAGAGAGAGAGAGAGAGAGAGAGACAGAGTGAGAGTGAGAGTGAGAGTGAGAGTGAGAGTGAGAGTGAGAGTGAGAGTGAGAGTGACAGTGAGAGCGAGAGTGAGAGTGAGAGTGAGAGTGAGAGTGAGAGTGAGAGTGAGAGTGAGTGAGTGAGTGAGTGAGTGAGTGAGTGAGTGTGTGTGTGTGTGTGTTTCCGTGTGTTCGTGTGCATGTGTGCGCGCGTGGGCGTGCGTGCGCGTGTGATGCGCTGCCAAGTTTTCGCCCTATTGGAGGTTTGACACAGGGGTTCAGGGAAAGCTGCCGCAGGTACTGGTTGAGCATCCCGAGCTCTTTCCCAACATCTTGCGCGACTTTCATTTCATCGACAGTTGAGGCTTGCTCCGCACCAAAGGTCAGCTTGGAGAGTCCTGGGGAAGGCCCTTTTTAGTAGGTACCTGGAGGGTTAGGGTTACATACCGGCCACGAGGCACTTCTTTCATTCAAGCCTTCAGCGGAGTCCTACGTCCTGGACCCACGGGTTTAGGGTTTAGGGCTTATAGGGTTTGAGGGTTTATGGTGGTTTATATGGTTTAGGGCTTATAATGTTTAGGGTTTATATTGGCTTAGGGCTTATAGGGTTAAGGGTTTGTTAATTTATATTGGCTTATCTGGTTAGGGCTTCAAGTGTTTAGTCGGCTTCAGAGTTTAGGCTTGGAATTTCGGGTCTCGGTTCTGGCCAGCTTCGCTTTCTGCAAGACTTATTGGCAGGACTGCTAGTGACTGTGTTTAGCCGGAACCCCCGTATCCGGACATCTCACGAAACCCCTTCAATCCGAAACCAAGGCTTCCTTAACGCTTCCCCTGTTGGTGCTGTGAGGCCAAGTCCGTACCGCCGCCGCCGGGCGCTTGACAGCTCCAGCCTCGGATGCGGGAGTCGAGGGTTTCAGGACCAGTGTCCGAAAACCAGAGTCAGCATCATCATGTGTATTACTTTTGCAGCAGTTTGATTGTCGTCGTGGTCGTTGGCGTAGTTGTTGTATGTAGTAGCAGCAGGCAGTATCGCAGTATCTGGCGTAGGCAGCAAACGAAGAACCCTAAAAGAGCAACTCCAACTTCGACGCAGTCGACAGTGACTCACGTATATAGTGCGCGTTGAGTTCTCCGCGTTTAAGCTTGCAGCCGGTCCCAAACTCCCACATACGCCAAAATGTGTATCACCAACAAAGTCGAAACAAGACATGCCACAAACCGCGCCGCCCCATGTCGAAAGCCTGTGAAACAAACACCCCCTCAACCCCAAGCCCTCAGTCTTCAAAGAAAGCTGAAGCACCAAGTCCTGCCACACCACTGGCAGCTTCGCTGCCGGTCGCTTGGCGGCGGGTCGCTTCATGGCTCGATTCTTTGGAGCTCGGGGGCTTGGAGGGGGCTCAGGAGTCGTACGGTTCAGAGCCCGGGATCCAAAGCTTAACAGTAAGCGTTTAGGAATGATGAGCTAGGAAGCTCAAGACTGAGGCGTCGGCTCAAGATTCAGTGTTGCTCTGTGTGCACGTAGTTGTATGTCTGTGGGTATGTACGTGTTCATATATGTATGTATCCGAGGTCCAGGCATATATAACCACATACCTGCGTACCTGCTACCATTGACAAAGAAGGCAACAGAATTGGTGCATTGTGTCTCCGTGGCACTGCACCATGCCGCCGGTCCAACGACGACTCGAGTACAATCTCCGAGCCCGGTCGCAACGACAGGCACGGGTATGTCAGCCACTTCAATGGCACTCAGTACCAGGTCACTGTCCCGGAGGGTCTTATAAACACTGTCGGCAGTTGACTCAGCGGCACGTACACTTCCCTGTCCCGGTTCCGCTGGGCATACATACATACATACATACATACATACATACATACATACAGACACAAATACATACATACATACATACATACATACATACACACACACAGACACACATGCATACATACCGACGTACATACATACATACATACTTCACTTCACTGCACTCGCTGCAAAGGTCCACTCTTCCAGCGTCATTGTAGGGACAAGACGATTTCGTCTCGGCGATCCGCCGTGGATGGTTCCACTTCCAAGATTCGCTCCGGCCAATTCCATGAGTCTCCGGAGAGGCGTTGGGTTGGCCGTGCACGCTTCAACATTCTACTAGTAGCGGACCATTCCCAACATCTGCCAGCACATTGATCTCGGTCTGAATCCTGGACCTTCAGTCCCAAACGGGGTTGCATGCTCCGACCTCGGATCGAATAACTACTTCGTGATCGACGCTTCATGACATGCATTCTAAAGCAGACTGTCCTCCTGATAGCAGTGGCTGAAGATGCATCTTTGCGGCCGGACAGCGGAAACCCAAATCTATCTATAGTTGTCTAGGTAATCTTGTTGATGCCCGGGTATACTATTCCCTACAGTATATTCGCCCTCGCATATGCCGTGAAGTCCTGGAGAAGGTCGAAGAAGGATTCCTCGGCAAGTGCAGGTGTGGCGAAGTCTTCAGAGGCCCAAAACAGTGGTACCCGGACTCGGTGCAGGAACTTGGGTTGAGCCTCGAATGCTGAGCCCCAAATGGGTAACCCAGAAGCCCGAATAGCCAGACCATAAAACCCAACTCCGAAGCCCTTCACCAGACTCAGGACTGCAGGTTGAAAGCATCGATGGGACTTTGTGAGACTCTCAAGTGTTGCAAAGCTCGAACTCCCAAGTCGACCCCATTTGTTTGGCATTGCGACAGCCGGAGAGTCAAGATCTGTAAGCTTGACAAGCCGAGGTCCATTGACAGGACGTCTCTGGATGCTTTCCTCAGGAGCAAACGTCTGGGAGTTTTCCGGAGTGCTGCTTCGGGTTGGGTTTCTTGGGGTCTCAGAACCCTTGCCAGTGCTAGACAAAGGTTCGAGTGTAGGGTGCGGCTCCAGCCTGTAAAACCCGCCCCAAACTCAACAGGTGTCAAATCCGTAAATCTTCTTGGAGGAGCAAAGACGGCGCTTTGCAAGAGAACGGAAGCTACGCTTTGCCTGGTGGAGCGTCCGTAGCACCGACATTTCCGGAAACTGGCATGTTGGATAGCCTCCGTATAGGAAGTTAGAGTTTGGGGCTTAGGTTTTAGGATGGGAGTTGAACTACTTCCGTCCTGTGCTTTCCGTGGATTAATTACTGCAGCATAGGAAGGTGCAAGACCTCATTCCCTGCAGCGAGCAGCACGCAGAAAAGCTTTTGCGTCCGAGCTACAGGATTTGGGATGACGAAAGAGCCTCTACGATCAGTCTCGACAGGAAGAACCGCAAGACAACTGAAGCCCTCCAACTTTCCGAGGTCTAGGTGAGACAGAACTGAATTTAGACCGAAAGCCTATCACTTCAGTTTGGAAAGTGCATTGAAGCTCAAGCTCGAATCCTAGGCCCAGGCCTATGCTCAAAACTTTCAAAACTGGGGCCCCAAACCCCAAAGCCAGAGGACTGAAAAATACCATGAGCCGACAGACGTACCCGAAGCTCATGGAACTAACATCCTTGACGACAGCTGAACGATGTGCTCCACTCTCCTGATCAAATCCGAAGCCTTAAGCCCCATCACGTGAAGATGGTTAGCTTCGCAGCAATATCGAGGGATCAGCTTTTCGATCCCAACTTCTCTCCTACGTAAGCCAACTCAGAAAGATGATGTTTCAAACATAGCAGCATCATGAACGGAGTCTGAGCCTGAAGCCTCATGTGCTCAAACTTAGAGGTCGTCACTCTTCAACGCGAGTGCCGCCCTGGGGGAGGATCGAATCCGGCTTCGTGTGCTATGTGAGCCCCCAGAGCAAGCGTGAAGAAAATACCTCGAAGCTGCCCTGGGATTTGTCTCAGACTCAGAGGGACTTATCTCCAGCACTACAAGTACAAATCTTCACGCAAACGCCTTCTCACCCTGAGCTCAGCCTTACAGTCGAAACGCAGGCCTTGGGCCCTACACTTGGCACGGGGCTCCTCGCAACGCAGGGCTTCCGAGTTCCCCGCCCTCAGAATGACTGGTTGGAGCTTTGGGCTTTCGGAGTTTCAGCCTGGAGGATTAGAGCTTGAAGATCCTGAGCTTCCGGAAGGGATTAAACTTAAAGGTGCCAGAAGCCATGCACTGAATAAACTGAGCCCTGCTTCCATGTATACTGGGTCTTTCTGTTGAGCCTTGCGATCCTGGATTGGGCGATTGCAGCCCGCGGCACTTGAACCTTCAAGCCGTAAACATCGGAGTTGACTCTCTCGCTCTTTCTCCCTGTTGCGGTTTTGTTCACCTCTCTCTCTCTCTCTCTGTCTCTCTGTCTCTCTCTGTCTCTCTCTGTCTCTCTCTGTCTCTCTCTGTCTCTCTGTGTCTCTCTCTCTCTCGCTCTCTCGCTCTCTCGCTCTCTCGCTCTCTCGCTCTCTCGCTCTCTCGCTCTCTCGCTCTCTCTCTGTCTGTTCTTATACATATAGTCTTTCACTCTCAGACTCCGATCCCTCAAACAGACCATCAATCTGACGCCCCGACCACCCCCCTCTCGCCTTATCCCATTCTCGAAAGGTTGCTAGTACCTCGTACTTCGCGGCCATCGCATTGTATGCGCTCGGCATGCACGGCGTCATGCGTTGCGGCCTCAGGAAGTCCATGGGTAGAGCCTACAATGTAGGGGTTGTTCTAGCTTGCACAAGGTGTTTGCCCTAAGCCCTGATTTACGAAACTAAACAACAAGGATCAAGCCCCGAACTCGTAATGTGCATCCCAAACTGCTGCAAAGCTTTATGCTGAAAGATGGAACCTTAACCCAAACAGGGTTGTCCCTTTTTGTATCCCCGCACTCTAAGCCCAAAACCAAATAGAACAAGCGAGTTTGTATGTATATATGTATATATCCATAATTATCCATACAGATATACATACTACACATCATAATTTCACAAAGATAAACGAAGCATATGTAAATACACATACATACACATAGCACCCTGTAGCAGTAATTATTAGTAACAATAAGTCCAAGAACAGTGAGAGATGAACCATGCTGGAAAATCCTTGTTTTCGACCTAGAGTCTACTCCCATCAGCCTCTGAGCCGATTGCCTGGATTTATAAACTGAATCAGACCTCACCTCCGGTAAGCCAATGATTCGCCTGAGAGTGGCCCATAGTCGCTTTACTTAGCTTTTGAATTTTTGATTGACCGGAAATTCGCTTATAAATAGCTTCTGTTCATTTCATTACATTGACCCTTTTGCGCTCAGCTATTTGATTTGTAGCGTTTGACATGATAATTTTTGTGTTATCCTGTATTAACTCAGCCTTCTAGAACTTATCTTTTTGGTCTCTCGTCCATCCCACCTGCTTCTACCTCACATTTAGACACCGTGTTTCTG